TTAACCCGAGAGCATCCATCGCATGACAATGACACACCACCAAAAGCCTTCATCGGGTGACGCTTTAATCTAAAATCAGCCCTCTTTCTGGTGTTGCATCAAAAAAGACAAATTATGCAGGAGCACCAGCTGCAGAATGCTCCCATTAGCCTTAAATCAAGTTAGAGTCAGAACTTGGAGCCAAACGCAGCACACAAAATCGAGTTTCAGTAAGGACGAGCACTTACGCACAACCCATAGAGATCCCGAAATCAAAGACTGTCCGTAGGCATTGATGGCCTTTACTGAAAGTCGGAAATTCTGTCCCGGTGTCAAATTTGCCACCTCTACTGCCACGCCCATGGTCGATTCACTAGGCCTGGCGAAAGGTTTGAAGATAATGTCCAGTTTGGCGATCGGTTGATTCTGCAACTGCAGCGAAGAACTAAGGATTCGCCTCAAACCCTCAGCACTTGCTGCCTCAAATCCATTTATGCCGACACGAAATTCAACACCTTCTCCCTCTCGAGCGTTTAGAAGGCAATCAAATCTCTTTGAGGTACCTTCCAATGCGTAGAACAGATCATCAATGCAATTAATGTCTCTGAAAGTTGGAGGCCCCACCACAGAGACATTGAACGTAAACGTTAGACGCTGATTACTTCCCTCCATCACGCGAAGCTCGTAGATACCCGCGAAGCTGCGCTTAACTTTTTTCGGGAGGCGGAAGGATGTGGCTGTAGCCTCTTGATCACTCAGTGCCACTCCATCCTTAAACCACCCAAACTTGATGGGTGATTCCGGTGACTGAGGGACGCGGTAAAATGCAAAAAGACTAAAATCCAACAATTCCGTTCCTTCAACAAACTGATAGCTTGCTTTTTGCGGGGAAATGGCTTCAAAACCACCCGTATGTTTAGGGGAAGCATTAGGGTCCAGCGTAAGACCTTTAATGATTACTGGCGTAGCTTGCTGAATGTAGTCACCCGCATAAACGCGCAGCGGTCCCGATGCTGAGTTGCGATTCCGGCAAACAAAAGCAATATTGGGATGTTTAGCCAACACCGCATCGGTGAAAAGAAAGAGCGTACCATCCATGGATGTGACACTGTTTCCCAAGCCCAAAGGTTCGCCGGCTTTTGCACAGCCCACAGGAGTTTTGGAACTACCAACTTCACAATAAACCCATTCGAACGGAGAAAGGTAACGTTGCCAAACTGCAGCCATCCAAGAAGGCCAATGACGAATCTTTTCCGCATAATCACCGCAAGAGAACTTAAGAGGGAAATCATGCGGCGAAATATTCGATGGTTGCACTTTTTCGACCTCGTTTGACATAGCGACATTAAGTTGGGTGGCGTAGAATGTCGCATCACGGAACTCAACAATGTTAGACTGAATGGTGGCCTCAGAAGCCTGAACTTCGCAATATATTTGTTCGTTATAAGGGAAACTAGAACTTTCATTGGGCTTAAATTGGAAGGAGAAATTCGCTCCACTAAACTCGTCCAAATCATAGCGAAAAGACATCTTATTGCAGTCGATTGTTTTAACCTTTGACTTGCCATGAAGGCGATGACAGTTTGAGCCTTGGCTAGATGAGCTGCAACAGAGGTTTACTTCTGTGAGTGGTTTGGAGCGCCGTGAAACACCACAGGAAAATCGAACAACATGAGTAACAAGGCTAGAGGAGCCGAGAAAATAGATGCTCCGAGTGATTCGCGAAGTAGCGTCAATCAAAACCTCCGGGTCGTTATCCGTGAGATAAACGCTTTCGTCATTATTGGCGCCAACCACAGGAGCAAACTCCAAGAGTTCATATTCGGACCCTCCTATGTAACAACAAACAATTTAAACAATTGTTGTTTAGCAATTAGCATACAAGTTAGGGAACGTACCATTCGCATAAAAGGAAAGAAGAACTAGAAGACAGAGTACCCTGGAGAACGACATGACCACAGGCCAGAGGCACAAAAGCCACGAGCAAGCAAACGGAGATCAAACACGAGGGCGCGACCTAAAAACAACATCGTGATGTAGTAAAACAAGTATAACTTAAATATTTATAGCAAAAAACAATTTTACGCTTTAAAAATTTAGCCTATATGCTTACTTTTCATGTTGTTATGATAAATTTCACTTCTTACAGAAAGAAAAGCAACCTTGTGCGCTTCAAATGCAAAATGCGTAAATTTCCATGGAAATACTTTGGCACCCGTAAGTAGCACTAATAATCAAACGTTTGTATTTTTTGTAAGGTTAACTTTTTAATTAGTTCTGACACACATGTCTCTCATCTAGATGTAACCTTCCAATAAACTTTTATCATATGATCATCTTTGGACCGCGCCTGAGGATTCTTAAAGGATTGGGCTGAATGTATGTAATTCAGGACAAGATTAAGAGACTGAGCTCTAGCTTCACCTGCGGTCGAGCTCATGTGTAAACTAAATACCGCCAGATTTCAAATGATTAATAAGGTATCTTACGCTCATTCGCTAGGGGTAGCGCTATGATGCTCATAAGAAATAATTCCGAAAGCTGTTGTGACGCCTTATTTATGTGACCGCCTGGCCCTCGTACGCGTGTTCTAGCCTTCAGACAATGCAAAGTTTAAAGTACTTTGGTTTCCTTGGAATACATGTAATCAGCTCCACTTACTGTTTCTTTTACCTGGAGGGAATTCTCGGGACGCTATAACTGCATACTTATGAAATCGAACAGAATTGCTCACCATTGAATTTAATTGCGAATGCATAGATTTCACTTATTGCCTCAACACTCGAAGCCTTTGCGCCATAAATACTTATTCCTGTTTAAAATAAAAAGTTGTGCCTCACATATCAAATAACCACTTTAGTTAAAGCTCGTTTTTGGATTAGGATATTTAGAATACATTCCCCCCTTTTAAAGAAAAGAACGATATTGCTTCATCTCTAGTAAAGAATTGCTATGCGAAGAGTACACATTTTGTTTAGCGTACAAGGGCTTCCCACCAGGTAGAAGAAGGCATTACGTTGTGCTGATAGCACGTGTTTAAGGGGAACCGAAGGATAGTCCACGCGTTCGGGAGTCAGACGAATAGCAAAGCAACCGCCAGACACCAGGTTATCAAAAAAACAAGGTATTACAATTGGCATCAGTGGTTGTAGCCTGCAGACCTTTAAGAGAGTGAAGAACGGTACAATATTGGGTCAAAACATCTATTCTGACTCCTAAGAAGACTGTTTGCTTTGTGTGGTTTCGTTAGACATTCTGAAGTTACAGAATTAGCAGGTGGGGAAGGAACGTTGGGAGATATCTATCAAGGTTCCAAAGAGTGGCTCTAACACTGAACACGACAATGGGACTGTTTTCCCGCCTCCCAGCTGCAGGAGACACTTTGCACAACTGTGTGCGAACACAGATGATAGTGATTCGAGTTAGGGCTAAAACACAATTCAGTCATGCACCAAACTAACGTTTTAGGGCGGAACTTCACGAGTGCTACTTACAATGTAGGTTTTGACTTTGTTGTAACCTTCCAATATTTCCCACTAGGTTAAAGAAGGCATTAAGCAGGGTGACTACGTGCGCTCAGGGAGAAGCGGAAGGAATCGAGCTCTGACTTGTTTCGAAGTCCCGG